CAGGTGATATGTATTTCACTCAATCTTAACGCTCTTGAGCAGCTGTGGGGGATTCTGTAGAGACGAGCTGAGCAAAACTCCCCATTAAAGATCAGAAGGAGGTCGTCCAGGAGTTAAACAGGACAGATGTGAACATTTGTCATGAACTTGTACACTCAGTGCCAAGAAGGGTCAGAGCAGTATACTTTTAAGTTCTGGGGGACATACTAAGTACTAGAATATTATACATTGTCTGAATTAAATCTAGGGTGTACTCATTTCTGCAATCCTTCATTTAAACAAAATTGGCTAATTTACTTATCTTGTGTGTGTGTGTGTGTGTGTGTGTGTGTGTGCGTGTGTGTGTGTGTGTAAAAAGATTTAAGAGTGGTAACAATTGCGAAGTACACAACATTCATGATGACGTAATCAGGAAGTAGCAGAGCTTTCGACGAAATTCAAATCGTCGGCAGAAGATGAGTCGCATTTATGACAACACTGCGTTATTAAACAAACCTGTCCATAATGAGAAATTGTCCTCCACATGGGATCCATTAGTTCACCAGAGGTAATGCTTTGAAGTGTATGCCTGATTTTTGCACAAGTCGACATCGAATGCACAGCCTGCCGTAGTCACTTAAGTTACAGGTAATATTGTAAAAACACAATAAATTAAGTAAGTTAATACGTGATCTGCTTCACAACGTGAAGCGTTCAGTATATTTCGTCAAGTTTCTATATGTGGCAGCGGTGGTTAAAACGTTACCATATATTTATAATAGCAAAAATGACTGTAACTATGGCGTTCTGTCGGAAATTATGGCTACCATTATACTTTTTTTGTAACTATTATTTTCTCCTTGGCTCTCGCATCGTGTTTTATTTATAATTTTTTACTTTCCAGAGGTCATGGTGTCATTTTAGAGGGGGCGGTCGTGGATATGTCACGCCATGTCATAACAGATGTGAACAACAGAAAGGTTAGAGTACTTAAAACTCTTCCTCGATTAAGAAACTCAAGTTGTTAGTGGAATCATGACTAATCTACACTACCGTTCAAAAGTTTGGGGTCAGTAAATTTACATTGTTAAAAAAAAAACGATTTTAAATATTAGATAAATATAAAAATTATTATTAGAATGATTTCTGAAGCATCATGTGACACTGAAGACTGGAGTAATGGCTACTGAAAAATCAGCTTTGCCATTACAGGAATAAATGACTTTTTAAAATATACTACAATAGAAAACAGTTTTTATTGTAATAATGTTTTACAGTATTACTGTTTTTGCTGTATTTTTGATCAGCATAAAATATATATATTTTTTAATTGTACCAACCCCAATATTACTTTATGTTCATAAAAAGACAAATATCTTCATTAATAATGTTTCCCATGACACTTAGTGATTCAACAATTGTTTTATTGTTGATATTTTTATATATAATAACATAAGTTTGGTATATCCTTTTTATTAAAATCTTAATTTGTGTCAATTTCAGGAGCGCTACAATGTATTGTACATCAAACCAATCAGAATACATCGCAGAAAATATGATTCAAAAGGAAATGAGATTGAACCTAACTTCAGTGATACCAGGAAGGTCAACACAGGATACCTGATGTCATCCTTCAGTGAGTAACCATAAAGTGCATTTATTTAAATTGTAAATCCATTTGGTTTTGATATGGCAAGGTTTTTTTTTTTTATTGTGCTTTTTAATGGCAACCTGTTCTGACAGCATTCAGTTATACCATGCAATAATAACAACTTGAATAAACTCTAAGTAAATGTATGATTTGGTAAATGCTGATTTTATCAAAAATGTCTTGAAGTATTGAAGCAGACTATTACATGCATGCTGTGTTGGTTTGTGTGTCTCAACCTTGCAGAAGTGGAGGCTAAGGGTGAAACAGATTGTCTAAATGAGCGCCAGTTGAGTGACATTGTGAATAAGGACCAGCTGGTTAAGGTAACAGCAAAATATTGTCCTAGTCAGGCCTTTGCATTCTGGATCTCAGAAGCAGAGATGGACAGAACAGAGCTCGAGCCAGGCCGAGAAATCCATCTTAAAACAAAAGGAGATGGGCCCTTTATTTGTAAGTACAATTCTGAAAATAGTATATACTTCTGGATAAATCAAGATGGCTACATGTGCTGTTCTGTCTGTCTAGTTTCCTTCGCCAAACTGGATGGTGGTACTGTGACGAAGTGCAATTTTGCAGGAGATGAGAATGCTGGAGCATCGTGGACAGAGAAAATAATGACTAACAAAGCGGATCAGGAAAATACAGGGAAGAGTGGCGGTCAGGGTGAGGGAGCAGACAATGAAGAATGGGTAAGATTCTCTGCTCAATTGAAGAAGTTTTCTGTTTTGCTCTGACCACATAAAGAATTGGTTTTGGAAATGGGTTTATCATGAACAGATGTGTAATTTTCTTTTACCATTTCCTATTATTCTATCATCAAGAGGTTTAAGATGAAGTGAAACTAACAGCGATCCAGTGAAGGATTTGTTGGAGTTTCATTGTGCAAACTTGTAACATCTGTTTTATGTTGTGTGGGATCTTGTTTTCAGGATGACTGAATGACACCCTTGAGCTTCACAGTGCATCACAGTGCCTTATCTGTCCTCCAAATGTATATTTACGCCACAAAACAAGACCTCACAGTCAGTATTCATACGTTATCACATGAAAATATCATAAATAAACAGCAAAAGTGCCATTTTAAAATAAAGACTTTTATGTATTTTAATTTGCTTTTAAGTATTGTATGTGTGTATTAAAGATATATCCTTAAAGTGATAGTTCACCAAAAAATGAAAGTTCTGTCATTAATTACTCACCTTCATGTCGTTCCAAACCCGTGAGACCTTTGTAAGAATTTTTGATGAAATCCGAGAGCTTTCTGACCCTGCATAGACAGCAACAAAACTATCACGTTCAAGGCCCAGAAAGTTAATAAGGACATCAGTGGTTCAACCTTAATTTTATGAAGCTACGAGAATCAGAGGAATGCACACATGGACTATTTTAACGATGTCCTTATTAACTTTCTGGGCCTTGAACGTGATAGTTTTGTTGCTGTCTATGGGAGGGTCAGAAAGCTCTCGGATTTCATCAAAAATATCTTAATTTGTGTTCCGAAGTGAACGAAGGTCTTACGGGTTTGGAATGACATGAGGGACATGAGTAATTAATGACAGAATTTTCATTTTTGGGTGAACTATCCTATTTAAGATCATCAAGCACTGTAAATTGAAAACAGTTCTACAATATCATATTTAGAGTTGCAACAATATTAAAATTATAGCCGATAGCCAATTAGTGGCATTATTTTAAAACACTAAAAACTAAAATCAATAGTATTAAATGCTACAATTGAATTTAGGCATCACAACATTATAATGTACAGTATAAAAATGGATATTTCTTTTGAGATTTGCTAAAGATTACATTTAAATGATTAGTTTTTTTAATGAGAGCAAAGGTTATCTAAATGTAAAACTAAGAGGAAATGAGCATGCACAATTAAATATCTAATATAGACAAGAAATGCCAAATATATCTGATATGTTGTGCACCTTTTCTCATAACATCATAGGTCTATTGGAGTATGAATGCACCCAAAAAAAAAAGAATGCACTTTATTTAAAGATTTACATGTTTGACTCCAATAAAAATATGAAGTCTCATAAAAACACACATCACATCCTTTTTCATTTTGTCTTCAAGCAATCAATCAATCACAGTGATCAAAATTATAGCTGTGGTTTTATAAAATGTAATATTTCAAATGATTATCTTTCATCATTTTTATATGTATTTTAATTAGGTTATACAAATAAAAAGAATGACATACAGTGCTTTTTAAATGTGCTTAGATGTGATTTCATCACTGTAAACAATACTGAGTCAGTAATATCAACTAAATTATAGTAAAGGCAATATATTAAGCTGTCCTAAACATTCATTCTTGGCCTTTTCTCTAGTATACACAATAGATTTGGCAGTAACTACTCAACATAGCATAGGGAATGTGTTATGTAGCCATTTGAAAATTGCACATTCTTTGTTCTTCTCTTCTAAAGCTTGAATAATTCTCTAGTGAAAGTCATCTTTTGTTCAACACCATCTCAGAACCACAGGAGGGGGTTGCTTTTATTGTGGAATGCCTTTACATCTGTTTTTGATTGTATTGGCTCCACTGCGTATACTCTGATTGTGCATGGCCTACAAAAACTAAAAGATCCTACAGCTCTCCCATGAACCATTCCTTAACAATCTGCTTGTTTTCTTTCACCCACTTAATATTGGCCTCTGTCCTTTCAATGACCTGCTCCAAAGTTCGAGCTGCGAGGCCCTGATCATCCTCTTCCTGCTCCCTCTGAAGCTGCTTCAGCTGTGTAGAGACAATTTGGAATATTTCAATGGTGGAAACACAATTACAGATTGAGACATTGTCCTCTATTACACTTTACCATCCCTCTACAATAACTAAAAGAATGAGAGAGTAACACAATTTTGGACAACAGCACCTCTTCAAGTTCAACGTCCGTGGAGAACCTTTTTGTCACAGCATCTAACAGACTGCCTAAGGATATGGCTCCCGCTCCATACCTGTCCAAAGGAGATGATCGTTAATCATATGCCCATATATTTATGGTTTCCAGGTAACTGTGTGATAAAATCTTTAAGACAATTAGGACTGTCATTCATTTATAGCTGAAGGCAGCCTTTGGATCCCGAATTATTTTATGTATCTGCTGTTCTGTCTGTCTAGTTTCCTTCGCCAAACTGGATGGTGGTACTGTGACGAAGTGCAATTTTGCAGGAGATGAGAATGCTGGAGCATCGTGGACAGAGAAAATAATGACTAACAAAGCGGATCAGGAAAATACAGGGAAGAGTGGCGGTCAGGGTGAGGGAGCAGACAATGAAGAATGGGTAAGATTCTCTGCTCAATTGAAGAAGTTTTCTGTTTTGCTCTGACCACATAAAGAATTGGTTTTGGAAATGGGTTTATCATGAACAGATGTGTAATTTTCTTTTACCATTTCCTATTATTCTATCATCAAGAGGTTTAAGATGAAGTGAAACTAACAGCGATCCAGTGAAGGATTTGTTGGAGTTTCATTGTGCAAACTTGTAACATCTGTTTTATGTTGTGTGGGATCTTGTTTTCAGGATGACTGAATGACACCCTTGAGCTTCACAGTGCATCACAGTGCCTTATCTGTCCTCCAAATGTATATTTACGCCACAAAACAAGACCTCACAGTCAGTATTCATACGTTATCACATGAAAATATCATAAATAAACAGCAAAAGTGCCATTTTAAAATAAAGACTTTTATGTATTTTAATTTGCTTTTAAGTATTGTATGTGTGTATTAAAGATATATCCTTAAAGTGATAGTTCACCAAAAAATGAAAGTTCTGTCATTAATTACTCACCTTCATGTCGTTCCAAACCCGTGAGACCTTTGTAAGAATTTTTGATGAAATCCGAGAGCTTTTCTGACCCTGCATAGACAGCAACAAAACTATCACGTTCAAGGCCCAGAAAGTTAATAAGGACATCGTTAAAATAGTCCATGTGTGCATTCCTCTGATTCTCGTAGCTTCATAAAATTAAGGTTGAACCACTGATGTCCTTATTAACTTTCTGGGCCTTGAACGTGATAGTTTTGTTGCTGTCTATGGGAGGGTCAGAAAGCTCTCGGATTTCATCAAAAATATCTTAATTTGTGTTCCGAAGTGAACGAAGGTCTTACGGGTTTGGAATGACATGAGGGACATGAGTAATTAATGACAGAATTTTCATTTTTGGGTGAACTATCCTATTTAAGATCATCAAGCACTGTAAATTGAAAACAGTTCTACAATATCATATTTAGAGTTGCAACAATATTAAAATTATAGCCGATAGCCAATTAGTGGCATTATTTTAAAACACTAAAAACTAAAATCAATAGTATTAAATGCTACAATTGAATTTAGGCATCACAACATTATAATGTACAGTATAAAAATGGATATTTCTTTTGAGATTTGCTAAAGATTACATTTAAATGATTAGTTTTTTTAATGAGAGCAAAGGTTATCTAAATGTAAAACTAAGAGGAAATGAGCATGTACAATTAAATATCTAATATAGACAAGAAATGCCAAATATATCTGATATGTTGTGCACCTTTTCTCATAACATCATAGGTCTATTGGAGTATGAATGCACCCAAAAAAAAAAGAATGCACTTTATTTAAAGATTTACATGTTTGACTCCAATAAAAATATGAAGTCTCATAAAAACACACATCACATCCTTTTTCATTTTGTCTTCAATCAATCAATCAATCACAGTGATCAAAATTATAGCTGTGGTTTTATAAAATGTAATATTTCAAATTATTATCTTTCATCATTTTTATATGTATTTTAATTAGGTTATACAAATAAAAAGAATGACATACAGTGCTTTTTAAATGTGCTTAGATGTGATTTCATCACTGTAAACAATACCATTTTGTCTTCAAGCAATCAATCAATCACAGTGATCAAAATTATAGCTGTGGTTTTATAAAATGTAATATTTCAAATGATTATCTTTCATCATTTTTATATGTATTTTAATTAGGTTATACAAATAAAAAGAATGACATACAGTGCTTTTTAAATGTGCTTAGATGTGATTTCATCACTGTAAACAATACTGAGTCAGTAATATCAACTAAATTATAGTAAAGGCAATATATTAAGCTGTCCTAAACATTCATTCTTGGCCTTTTCTCTAGTATACACAATAGATTTGGCAGTAACTACTCAACATAGCATAGGGAATGTGTTATGTAGCCATTTGAAAATTGCACATTCTTTGTTCTTCTCTTCTAAAGCTTGAATAATTCTCTAGTGAAAGTCATCTTTTGTTCAACACCATCTCAGAACCACAGGAGGGGGTTGCTTTTATTGTGGAATGCCTTTACATCTGTTTTTGATTGTATTGGCTCCACTGCGTATACTCTGATTGTGCATGGCCTACAAAAACTAAAAGATCCTACAGCTCTCCCATGAACCATTCCTTAACAATCTGCTTGTTTTCTTTCACCCACTTAATATTGGCCTCTGTCCTTTCAATGACCTGCTCCAAAGTTCGAGCTGCGAGGCCCTGATCATCCTCTTCCTGCTCCCTCTGAAGCTGCTTCAGCTGTGTAGAGACAATTTGGAATATTTCAATGGTGGAAACACAATTACAGATTGAGACATTGTCCTCTATTACACTTTACCATCCCTCTACAATAACTAAAAGAATGAGAGAGTAACACAATTTTGGACAACAGCACCTCTTCAAGTTCAACGTCCGTGGAGAACCTTTTTGTCACAGCATCTAACAGACTGCCTAAGGATATGGCTCCCGCTCCATACCTGTCCAAAGGAGATGATCGTTAATCATATGCCCATATATTTATGGTTTCCAGGTAACTGTGTGATAAAATCTTTAAGACAATTAGGACTGTCATTCATTTATAGCTGAAGGCAGCCTTTGGATCCCGAATTATTTTATGTATCGTGGGTGATATAACTTCCTGATTGCTGTAATTATTCCTGCATGAGTTTACAAGATTTACATTTCATAATTCATCACTGGTTTCAAGTCAAAGACAACTGAACATCCTCGTGTTTGCTGAATGAGTATTTTGCACAAGAACTTAAGGGTGATGTCATTTGCCTCTCTAGTTTCCATTCACTGAATTTAAATAAATGTAGTTTATTATACCATGAAAGGTCCTAGTTATAAAAAAAATAAATACAATGTTTAAATAATGAATATGGTTTTATAATATTTCAAATATGTATACATAATATAGTTGAGTTGGGGATTAAAATGAGCTACTTCAATATTACTAAAAAATATGAATTATTATATCTACATTTTCCCCCACTTCGACTTACCTTGATTCCTTTCATAAATGCGTCCTCGGTCATGAATGTGGCCAGCATTCTCAACACAGCAGCACCCTAAAGAATGTACAGAGCTTGAAGTTTTCTTATAATCATAAAGGATCGCTTTGTAAAATATATTATTGTGCAATATTGTATTGTAACATTTTTTTGTAAATTAAGCTTATCAACATCAGAAATGCATTGATGCCAACCTTCCTGTAGGTGATATCATCAAAAAGGTCTATGATCTCAGAGAAAGTTTGAATATAATTTTCCTGCAAGCTGAGAGGATGGGAAGAGTTTAAGGAATCCACTTCAAAGGCGGTCTGGATTTCTCTGAGAACAATCAGATCTCTCTGAAAACACAAATGAATCATATCATCAGAGGAGGTTGAGGGATGCAGAGTTTTAATTTAATGAACTTATGGCCACTGTAGCTGTCAACAAATTAAAAAGAAAGAAAGAATTAACCATGGGTTTATTGTTAAATCATTGTTCTAAAATAAACAAAAACATACTAAGTCCCAGCCAGCAGCATGCATGCGTTTGTCCATACAGTGAAAATCAGAGGGCTCCCAAACAACCTTGGACCCCATTTAACTTACAGTCAGTGTATGGATGCAAAAACACTTTTTAAAAATGTATTCCCTAAAAAATGAAGTCATACATGTTTGGAACAATTTGAGGGTAAATCAATTATTTATTTTTATGGCTGAACTATAATTTCAATAAGTGTTCAACTTCATCCACATGTATTAATGCATGCAATCAAAATAATCCACATAGAAATAGTGAGTGGGGTTCCTTTCCATTGACTCGCCTATTTTTTTTAGTGGGTATTTAAATCAAAATATATTCTGATAGTAAATCATAATCTTCTCTGTTACTTCAATTGCATAGGCAGCATGGCCAGCATTAATAGCATCATTCCGAGCATGTATCTTGGAAATACATATAATTTGTGAAATGTTAATAAATAAATAAATAATAAGCAGGCACTCAAGTGCCTTAAATTAAAAATAAAAGAAACGTACATTTATGTTGGTACCGGAAGATTTTGATTTATACGTAAAATCAGATACAGTGAAAGCCAACAGATAAGTTGACATTATGGGGGTCTCCGCAAATGTAGTCACTATCCATTCTTCTCCATCTATTTTTGTCGTATCTGCCTCTAATGATAAAACAAAAATAGAAGTTATACGGAACAATATTACCTTGATTTTTTTTTTTTAAGTTTAAGTCCTTTGCAAATAAGCAACAGTCTGTTTGTTGCTTTGATATTTATTGTTATCTGTATTAGAGAAAGGAGGACTAAATATCTATATGAAATCATCTTTCAGTACAGTGAGATTCTGACATGGTCAAGTCTAATATTAACTAGTAAGGATCCTAACCTCCTATTTCATTGGATAGGGCAACAGTGCCAGGTCTGTGGATAATAGTAATATGAAACACAGCCTTCAGTGCGGGCTCATCAAAGCACGGAAACACTTTCCTGGCATCTGTGGGTTGCAGCAGACTGGTGGCAAGGAATCTGTTTGTGGAGACATTTTTATGCAAAACAGTAAATAAAAATGAACAACAGTAATTATGTTCGAATTTTCTGGATTTGTGTCATTTGTCATAAAAAATGTGTGATATCCACTTGTAAAAACAACAGTGACCAAACCAAATACATGGAAATATATGAGGTGTTTCTTAGGTTGATATAATTAGACATGCACATTCTGTCAGTGAAGTTCCTATGTGTGTTTTAACTGAACTGAAAACATATTTGAAAAGCAACATTTGAAAGACAAAAATATAAAATATAAATTATATATATATATATATATATATATATATGTGTGTGTGTGTGTGTGTGTGTGTGTGTGTATATATATATATATATATTATTATTATGATCTTCTCTGTGTACCAGCTCACATAAAACCCAGCCAAGTTATCAAGAAGTTCCCCTTCGAATTTGGTGAAAATATCATAGTAGGTCCCATTTCCAGACATTGTTTCCTTGAGTTGGATTTCGAGGAAATTACTTTAATTTTGATGAATTTTATATCCTCTCACTGATAATTTCTCATTTGAATCAGATTTTGTCACTTCCACAGTCATCACATTTAGGTCGTGAACATGAAGAAAGATACTCTTGGAGTCTGTCATACACTTTACTCTTACAGTTGAGTTCCCCGTGAAAACGAATGATTGGTTTGTGTAGTTGTTAGTTATCGCTGCGTAAAGGTACGGGTTGGAGGAAGACTTTGTAGCTCTCTGGAATCAAATTGTCAGGAATTCTGAGAGTCGGTGGAAGTCCTGTTGGAATAACCAGAGGTTTAGTTGGAGTCGGTGGACTCACTGGAGGGTATTTATCTATTTGAATTTTGTACATCACAGCCATCAACACTAAACCACAAACAGAAGAAACTGTGAGGACCCCAATGCCGACAGCCAAGGCTTTAGACATGCCAGTTCCTTTGGCCATTTCTAATCCTTCTGAGAAACCTCCAAGAATGAATTAAGCTAGGAGAACTTGCTGTATGTTTTTAAACTCTGTACCCTCTCGCAGATCTTGACAATATATTTGTTGATAAAGGCGTCAAGAACCTATACCATGCCTAGAAGAGTGCATTTCAAGATTACACGTTAACTAGCATGGATGGGCCAGAAACAAACAAAAACGATGGTACTTCACATGTATTGTGTCCCATCGCACTTTGCCCCACATCTGGAATCAGTTATAATATCTATTATGTAGTTCAAGGTCAGAAAACAAAAACAGAGCTTTGTTGCTGAGAAAATTGATGCATCAGATGTTAAAGTAAATTTTTTTATCACCGGAACCAACTAATAAACCCATACTGATCTTCTTGAGTCCATCTTATGTTCTGCCAGAGACCTTGAGACCTCAGTGATGAGACATCCAGCTGTTTGGGACCTTGGCAGAGGTGCTGCCCGGAAGCTTTTCCAGAGTTCTCTGATTACTCAAAAAAGAAAAAAAAAAGGTGACTAATTTCTGAGCCTTTTGTACTACTATATCAGTATGTTTTTGAGTGAAACTTCTAGTGTGTTTTCTTAAGGGTTAGGGGAGGGGACTCTCGTGCTAATTTTTTTTAACCTGCCCCCCACCTTCCCCTCCTTTCAGTTTTATTCTCAACTTTTCTTTTTTTTTGGTCTTATTAAAATGATCAAATGTCCTGTGGAATCTACTTTTTAGAATGAGATAGATAGATAGATAGATGGATAGATAGATAGATACTTAACCATACTCTTTAGCAAATCTCAAAATTAACATATTTTTCATACTGTGAATAATTACGTTGTCATGCCTAAATTCACTTGTAGCACCTTAAATGATTGGTTTGACTGATTTTAGTACACTATTATTAAGTAGACAAAATATTATAGAAAAATAATATTAGCCATTTATAATAATAATAGATAGACTATTAAAACTGTCACCCTTTAAATTCAGAATATAAAGAGACTACTTTCCTTTCAAATGTACATGATGTTGGAAATCAAACCAAATCAAATCTGCCTCTTTGAAACTGAAATTGACTAAATAACATTTTAGAATTATCTTAAAATGAACGTACAAAAATAACATTTATATATTAACATTGATGGGAAGGAACCGAAAGCGACAGTGGACCATTTTGTATCACAAAATTTTAAATAAAATTTTTTTTTTTTTTTTTAAACAAACAAAACAACACACATATTATTTAGTAAAATCATATGAATTTATTGTAGCCGTTTCAATTCCAGCCAGTACACAGAATTCATTTATCACTGCAGACTGCTGTTTTTAGGGGTGGCAAGAAAGAAACACAACAGCTATGGTGCCATCCTGTGGACGAGCATGAGATACCGCATACAAATCAAATTTTCATCCATTGGGTTGTTTACAAGGAAATGCAACTGCAAATCAAAAAAAAAAACTATTATTAATAAAAAACCTTCTGTGCACATGCAATATTTTAATTTCATAAAATAAAAGAAAAAACTCCACAGATCACAAACGTCACTGAAGGCACACTGTCTTAAAGGTTTATATTACATAAATGCTTGGCATGAATGCTAAGCATCTGATCTCAGTCAATATATGCTTATTCATTGGTCAGCTGATACCTCATAATGTCAAGACTGTATTATCAGTTCAAGTTTTACTCTCATTACTTCTTTAGAAAGCCCTAAACTCAATAACTCTCCTTTTAAAGACATTTGCATCAAATATGGATAAACATGAAGATGCAACACAATACATATTTTCACTCATGTGAAAATACTTAAAATACCCAATCCTAGGCGTGATAAAAATTTTAATCCTTCTGTTTTAATTCCAGTTTATGAAAGAAGGATTAAAATTAAATTGCCGGAAGAGAAAAAAGTTGTCTGTATTGTCTCAAATATAGATTATCAGGAATGTCATAACTTTTGGTCACGGAAAGCTGAAAACACTTAAATAAAATCTAGTTCAAGACAAAAATACACACAAAATAAAGGCAAAAAGCCCTCTATTTTTTGATGATTCCTACTGAAATTTTTGAAGGAATTAAAGTTCTTGTCAAAGTGATCCACACTCCACTGCCACAATCCGCTTTATCCTCCTCTTTGCACAATAGAACAATTTTCCTGAATTCACCTAAGCTCCTAAAAAATGCACACACTTCAACCTGGAACATAAACCTTCATAGCACAACACAAGCCGAAACTCTTAAGCATAATTGTATAGTTAAGAATCTGGACATATATTTTTAACTAGAGAGGATCAGCAGAAGTGTGTTATCGGATTAAATTTTTGGTCCTTCTAATTTTTCTACATGGTTTTCTTCAGGATGTGGCTGTGTCCCTTTAGGCCATTATGTGTGGCCTGTAATTGTTTAAGTCTCGACTTCACCAAAGCCAGCTGTCTAAATGCTGAAGACAGTAGCAAGACTGCTGGAGGATTGACGTAAGCTCTCTGTAACTTTGCTCTTTCCAGCTGGGAAGGAGTCTTTCATTGTTAAGGGCCTGAAGTTTGGGTGTCCCTTCACGTAAGACCTGATACAAGCAGGGCCATCGGCTCTGTATCCTTAGCCGAGTCCGGCGGTCCAGAGTAATGCCCCGAACGATCTTTTTCGCCCGCAGCTCTCGTAGCGCTGGGAGGTTGAGGCAGGAGAAGACCAGACCTCGACTGGGTGACACATCAAGGAACTCGAGCGAAAGGGATTCAAGGGTGTACGAGATGCCTAGATTACGCAGTGGAACAAGAACATGGAGCGTGAGGGATTTTAGATTAGGCAGCGATTTCGCCAGCATCTGTAAAGTGTTCGGACTGACCCCTTTGAAGACCCAAAAGTACTTCAATTCTAAGATACGGAGGTGTTGAAACTGAGTGATCAGCGCAACTGATGTTTCGGACCAGTCGAAGTGCAGGCGCATTTTGGTAACCCTGGGACAGCTGTGGACGAGCCTGGCTAGGAGAATGTGAAAGTTATTAACCTGGTCCATCTTGGTAATATTGTCTTGATGAGAACTAGAACTGGTGTGGACACGAAGGTCAAGAGGTTCCAGCAGCGTAAATGTCCAGTTCAAGTCTAAATGACTGAGATCCCGGCAATGCACGTTCTCTAGAAGGTGTGACAGGAGCTCTCCCCATTTATTGCACTGGTCCCCTAGATCAAAACTGGCCTTCAGAGTGAGCAAACTAGCCCCACGGGATATAAGATGATGTGTGTAATGGTGAACCCAAGCCTTCCAGCGCTCAAACTCTCTGTTGGAAACGAGCAGACCCTCCTGGCCCAGATGAAACACCCCACGGCGGGAATAGTCCGCAACTCTCCAGAGCTTCCCAGAGCGCACTAAGCAGCTCCAGCTCGCACACACAAGGGCAGAGTTGCACTTGTCCACCTCACTGAGGAATGAGAGCACATGGAGCTGACATTCCACCGGTAGGGAGTTGAAAGGGAAGTAATCTTCATCAGCTTTAACCCTTCTCCTTGTATTAATGGGAACAAGGGCTCTTTTCCGTTGAGGCATGTCTGTCAGTGCTTGGTTAACTCTTCAAGATCATCCTTTTCACTGAGAGACGTTTAACTGCACCTTCCAGAAAACAAAATGTCATTTACAATGTGCATCTCAACAGTAAACATTGTCTGCAAGATCTTCATTATGCGATTTATGTCAGAAAGTTGCACTCTGACTAAATCAGATAACTCAAGAACCGCTGTAATTGATTCAATTCGATTCGTGAAGGAAATTATTCACACCGGTTTTGAACTGGATTTAGTATTTTATTAAAAACGTTTTGTTTACAAATCAAAACAAAATGTTGTTTGTAATGCGCAACAACACAAGAGAATCTCAACAGTAAATGTATTAAACAAATGCAGTACTAAAACATTTCAATGTCTGCGTTCTTCAGTCTGCGATTTATATCTGAAAGATCCACTCTGAATTATTCATTTAACTTAGTCACTGCTGTAACTGATTCAATTCGATTCGTGAAAGAAATCTTTCACACCGGTTTTGTGAACCGAATTATTATGTTTTTTTTTTCAAAATGAAGTAGTGCTGGGCGGTATACCTGTTCATACCGAATACCGGTGTTTATTTTTGTTATGATATGCATTTTTAAAATACCGCAATACCGGTGTATGTCGCTTAAACAACGTTTGGAACGGGACACTGTTTTAAAGGGGTCCCTTTTCACTGTTGCACTGTGGTGAGGGAACAGCTGTATGTGTTACTAAGCGTGAAAGAAACTGAAGCTGTAGAACTAATAGAACGTGATGACACAGAAGAACTCATCCACAATATCCACATTGACCGCCACAATTATCCACCGCCCCCTGCCATCAGCTCCCATGTCTCACACACACACACACGAGCGCAATGCTTTAGCACTAGATTAAGCAACTTTCAGACCCTTTTTGCGGGTTTTTTCCATAGAATATTCATACTGACAAACCTAGCGACTTTTTTGGATAAACCTTTGCTATGGTTCAGTTGGAAGATTTCGCCAGTGCTGTCCCGCGAACGCGAGGTCTGATTTTCCCAGAGAAGTGTCACCTCTCTCGGCGTCTGTTCTGTGCAGTGAGCGGCAGAGAAGCAGCGCATTCAGTTGGCCGCACCGTATGGAATAAAATCACTGTCAAAAATAATCGTACGTAATTCAAAGCATTTGTGTGTCATTTTAATTTACTCGTGCGTAATTTAAAAGTATTGTATGTAATTCTGTTTTTTGTCAGAGTTGGATTCCAAAATCTACGGCCACGACAGTTTACAGATACGAGATTTTGTGTGTTTGTTACGAGTACAACTCCAAAATGTACGACTATGACAGTTTACAGACACAACGCTTGTTTTCACAACAGCTCTGTTACACGCACGACATGCGAATTGCGACCACGAAGTGCGGTGTGCGAAACGACTGTCAAAAATACGTCATCATTGTCACAGGCATTACTATCCGAGGGAAGATGAATCGATTCCACGAAGTGCCACCGTTTTAAACCACTGGCGCCAAAATGGCGGATCAGCAGCCAAGCGCTCACTCATCGTCTCAGGTAAGTGATTTTTTTTTTCTTTTTCAAATTAGGACATGTTTAAGGGTTAGTTATCACTAATGACAGAGAGGAGTAATATTACAGAGATAGTTTAACTATAGTAGGTAAGATTAGCTCTTAGTGTACATTTAGGTGTTTAAAGAATTAGAATACAGCTGTTTAGGTATGGAGGACCAAACCTGCAGAAATTAAAAACAAATAAATAAACAAATAAATAAATAAATGTGTGTATAAATAAATAAATA